CCTCATTTATTCAGCAGGGACAGACGGTTTGAAAGCTGTGTCACAAAAAGGGAAAATCAGGCCCAAATTCTGTGATTCAGTCCATCTTGCACGGACTGAATCACAGAATAATAGAATCACTAAGGTTGCAAAAGATCTCTAGCAGCACCAAGACCAACCACTAACCCAGCAGTGCCAAGACCAGCATTAAACCATGTCCTCAAGTGCCACATCCACCTTTGAACATTTCCAGGGATGGTGATTCTACCAGCTCCCTGGACAGCCTACTCTAAAGCCTGAAAAACCTGTTAACACACTGTACCTGTTCCCAGCTCTACAGCAAGTACCAATATACAACAGATAGTGAGACTGTAATGATCTGTTTTCCAAAAGTACAAATCCTGCTAGCTCAGTGCAGAAAAAGACCATCATAAATGTAATGGGAAATGTCAGCCCAGTCAGACAGTTTTCTTGAGAAAACTGTCACATGTGCATTACAATGTAATGAAAAAACACATAACAAAATAAGGAAACGAAACTGTTCATACCTTCTCTGCCTTTTAAGAAGACCCTCTCCTGTCCGTGCAGTGCGCTTATTGTGGCAGCCACATGCTCTGACCATTTTGTGCTTGTAGTTCCATATTCAAAACAGTGACGAGCAAATCTGTGTCTATGAGAAGTGTTTCTTTGCCAAGTGAATCCTTGTTCCTTCACTAGCACCAGGTTTGAGAACCTCAAGCTCTGTTTACCTTCTGTTGTGGTCCTTTGCTTTTGAGTGATGCCAGGACTCTCTCTCGCAGTGAAGGTTTTATTTTCCCACATTCTGTCATCACACTGCTAAAACTCAACTAAACATGAAAAATTTCTATTTGAAAATACATTCTAGAAATGCTTGTACCTTTTGAACAATATATTGTGAGCAGCACATTCTTTTGGAGACTGAGATTCCAGACTTTTGCATGATCCTCGTTTCCAAGGTAAATTGTGCTTTCTACCAGGGTTATTCTGACCCTGACGTCAGCCACAATTTGCTGCATGTGACTGAATTAATCCTGTGGAGTGTCTCAGCTCCCTCTGCAGGTAAAAGCTCTTGTCCAGTGATTCTTTGTGCAGAGTCCTTCTCTTCAGAGCCTGATAATTATCTGAGAAAACAGGCTGCTTCTGAGGCTGATTCCAGCTCCTTCAACAGCTTCCTCTGTCCTTCCTTAGTTGCTCATTGCCTTATGTTATTCCTGTCAATCATAATTTCCACTTCATCTGATGTCTTATTGTAACCAGCTACTTCATGTTGGAGTTCAGTGTGTCCATGGGAGTAGACTTATTTCACAAATATGATTTTCAAGAAAATGTGAGGGAGGAGAAAGTGATCTTCTAATATTGTGCTCTTAATGTTTGCATCTTGCCTCAACATTTCAGAAATAATTAAAATTATCTATTCCTTCTGAAAATTTCTTTCCAGTTCTGAAGTATTGATTTGCTTTTCCCTCTTTGAAAGAGTAATTTTTTTTTTCATTTTCTAACCATTCTCTTAAAAAGGTCTTTGCAACTTCCACTTTTTCAATGTGTGCTTCACCCCAAATTTTTCTTGCAGTTCAGGTGGTCAGTGACTGTTTATCTACCTCTGCTGGTTGAGGTTGTGTCATTTTTCTAATGATGATTTTTTTTTATTTCACCTGAGAGGATGCCATGATTTCCAAATATTCATGTTCAACTGTTTCTCCGCTTATCACATTTTTCTACATGCCCATTTGTCCAAGTCCTTCTTTCTTCTTGAAGAGATAACTGAGCACAGCACATCATGCATTCTCTTTTCCTGACCTCTCAGGCCACCATGGAATCTGTCATTTTCCCAGTGCTGTCTTTACAAGACATTGCCTTACTTTTCAAAAACATTCAAAGAATCATATTTCCCATATAGTTCTCACCGACTTTAAAGTTTTCATACTTCAATCTACCTTGCCTTTCTCCAAAACCCTTTCTTTCTGCACCTGTGGATTTCCAGCTTAGGAATTTAATATGAATTTGACCACTGCAGGGTAGTAATTCTTTATTTGTTTCCAACTTTGAACATTTTGCTTCCTTTCAGCTATTTACTAGAGACAACTTAATGTCAAACACTTAGCTTTTTTAATATAGATATTAAAAAGGAGATCCTGTTTCTTGGGTGAAATGCAAACCACATTTGTTGAAAGCATGCAGTATGGAGACAAAGATCTCAGTACTGTAAGAAAACCATTTGGTAGTAACAGTTCACATAGCAGCCAGTAATTGCACTTGTATTTTTTCTGCTGTTTGGTTGGTGAGAGAGTGTAAGTCCTGTTTGTAATTTTTTTCAGTGTTTATGATGTGCTGGTCCTTATTTGATTGTGAAATCATTCCAGCTTGAAGCCATATCTTTTAAAAAAAATCTCTAATTTTAAGTTCAAATATTTTGCAGCTTCAAGTATTATGCAAACTGCTTTATGAAAAAATGCACCAATTTAAAGCTGCTTAATAAATATTTTCCGTATTTTTGCATGTGGACTCAGCTTTTCACTCCATAGCTTCTTTTAATAGCCTGTAAACAAAACAAAACCAAAACAGAAAACAAAAACAACAAAGAAAAGAAAAGAAAAAGTCTCCTGAGCTTTAGATAAAAAAACATTACTTTAGAAACACATGTTGGTATCAAACCCTAAATTCACAGACAGCACAATACCTTTCTGAATGTTTTATATTACCTTCAGAATAACTAGAACCAAAATTACTATCAGTAAATCATTTGGTTTGCCTTGAAACAGTTAACAGTGTTGAAAAGTCCAACTATAATTAAGGATCTTAAAATTGGCTTTTCTGTGTTAGATTAATCAGAGACATTCACCTCTGGCAAGATGAATTAAACATTGCCCTTCACACCAGCACCAGAATGTGATGTGCACTCCTAGAAATGTCAAAAGCTGAGTAGTTATGTGGCTACACAGTCACTACCCCTGTGTTATCTCCTCAAAATTCTTGTCACCAAGCTTGAATTTAATTACTTAAGTACTTATTGTTAGCAGGAAAAGTAGCACATTATATCAGCACAATGCATTTTTTTGAAGACTGTTAACATTTTCAATTTTTTAAATTTTTTTTCTCTTTTAATCTAAGGGGAACCCAGAATACTATCAGGTAATATCTATCTGTGTGGAAAACTATAAATCCCTTGAATGCATAGTATGTCAAAATATTTTAAACAGAATTTTTTAAATGCTGGTGATTTCACTGTTTATTGAATGTTTATAAAGTATCTCTGGACTTGGCCAGTATATCTTTCAACATATTAAAAGCATATATATTCATCCAGCTGTTAGCACCTCTAACTGGGACTGGTATAAAAAAACCTGGAGGAAATTCCAAAGGCAATAGTTTGGTGACTCTTAACATTATCTTTCAAACTTATCTTAACCAAAATAGCATCTGTCTTATCTGACCTCACCCAAAAAATCACTTCAAAATGTGGAAAGGTGAATAGTTTACTACAAGGCTTCATCTTTCTTCACACACCTTTCTATAAACATATGCTCACTCCTTTATAAAATAACCAGAATTTCAGAAGCAATCCCAAAAATACTGAACAATTTTGTTCAATTTCAACTACTTTTCAACTTCTAACAATCAAAAGAAAGCTCCTGCTCTTTTAAGAAAACAATAATGCCTGAGAATTACCTTCTACCCATCTGGATCTGTTACCATTTTATTGAAAAATTTATTGAAAAATAAAAACTATATGCAGCAATGCTTGTAATGAACACCCAGAGCAAGTTCCAAAGAGCATAAACAGAAAGATGATAACTGAACACACTGGACCTGAATAAACCCTAGAAAGAGCCCATAATAATACAGGTCTGATTTCTCAAAATCATTTGAGATCTGGGCAGTAGAAAATATTGTTTCATGCTAATAACATTGTTTCATGCTCATAGAAGGGGCTTAGGACAACTATTGTCATCATTCTTTTTCATCATACAGTACTGATAGCAGTTTCAAAGATGTTGATTAAACTCCCACCATAAGGAGATTCCTTGAAGATAATTCACAACAGATTACAAAGAAGAAAAAGCTTAGAAATTTTGTAAAGGTAAAAGCATTGTGTATTATTGAGTTAAAAACAAACAAAATCAAAAAGCCAAGAGTAACAATACAAATACTGTATAATATTCAAGAGCTTTAAAGCACAGTTTAATCCTGTTAGGCTGCTGAGTTACCACCCTTCCTGAAGGGCAGTGCGGAACTTGCACTGCTCCAGGGCAGACGACTGGGACTGATTTTCTAAATTGCATTTCCCTCTTGTTCTCTGTGAAAGGTGAGTAGTGGTGCTATGGCTCCTGCCACAGCTGAAGAAATTCACTGCCTTTTGCACTGAGCTGAAAGGATGAGCACACTGGGAAAGGACAGTGAGAGTGATGGCAATGTCTCAAAGGAGAGGCACAGAGGATTTTTATCCTCATCTTTCCATGTTGTGCCATTCACACTGCAACCCTCAAATCACTCATAAAAAGGAAAATTTGTTATTAATCCTAAATTAGGTCATGGCCTCAAGGATCTGGAGGAAGTGAAAGAAACTCCCTATTTTGCATGGGTGATTATGCTCACAGGGCTTCTTAGAAGGCAAAACTCAAGCCAAGTGATTCTTTGCCTCCTCTCCATCCAGCATGACACAAGGCAAGAATCTACAGCAATAACTAAACTTTCAGACAAAATGTACCTGCTCTGCAAGAATGGAAAGCACTCACTGCAGCTATGGCAGTCAGTATCTTTGAATACAAAATCATTTTGCGTTGAAAACCCAATCACATTCTGCAGAAATCTAGGAAGGAAAGTATCCAAGTTGGACTTTATAGGTGGCTCTTCCTCTCTGTGCAGGTAAAACCAGTATGCCCTTCCTCATGGTTACAGAGTCTTACAAACAATCCCTAACACATGGCAAAATCTAGAAGTCAAAAATTGAGTACAAAGAAATATAAAGAATACCAACCACACGTCTCAGCTCAGTTGTGTCATCAAGGCCACAGAATGAATGCTAGTGAAAAAAACAAAAAAAGGAACAAAAACTATAACATAAGATCAAAAGAAAATGAGGAAAAAAGAAAAGAAAGAAGATGTAAGATATGTAATATGAAATCCAGTGACATTACAGCAGTTAGACTTACATCATTAATTGAGTTGATCTGAAAGAAAGACACAGCATACCAATCTTACTTTAAAAAGCAGTAAAAAAAAATTTCAGTATTTGAGAGCAGTTTTACAATGGCAGCATCTGTGGATTCATATATATTAGGCTTGGTATTGTGATTCACTTAAAGAAGTACTTATAACGACACACACTAAAGCTTTCCTGAATCAAAGCGTACCAAGCCAAGGGCACAACCTAAATGCAACTGAAATAGCAGAGAATCAGCTGTGAGAAGAGCACAGCATGTTTAAACAGCATTTGTTCCTAGTATATCAACTCACAGATTAAAACTGAGATTTTATATCATTTTTCTGTACAGGCTCTAGAAACAGGACAGTTTGCTGAAGAATCTATAGGGCAGAAATACTGTAATATTCATGTTATGATTTGACAGAATTTTACAAAAAACTTAAAAATTGAATCCACTCCTAAAGGAAAATGAAAAGTCATACTCAGACACAGTAACAGTAAGTGGTGTATTTCCTTTTCTACCACCAGCTATAAATGCTATAAATGCTGCTGTTCCTTCAAAAGCATAAGACTTCTCTCCACAAGAAATTATTGTGCTCACTATCAGTAGCATGTAGGTGTCAGTCTGCACCCTTTAACACATTAAACCTCTAGAAGAAAAATGAGATAAAATGACAACATTCATTGCTTCCCTGACAACACAACCTTCCTTTGGGCCACCAGAATGGGATTTAATCCTAGGGAAAAAAATAATTCAAATGTAATAGGGATAGAAGGAAGCCCTCCACCCACCCAGAAGCTGAAGGTCAATAGAAAGAGATGAAGCTTTTTTGAGGTCTCTTGCTAATGTAACATTAAAGCCAAGAGGATGTTAATCATTTTAACTCATTACCAGCTTTCTGCTAAGCTTGTGATTAAGCTCTTTCTTTTCCAGTGCTTTTCCACATCCATCCGGCTGATGAACCAGCAGAGATAATGCTATTTTCCATTTCCAAAATTATCGGTCTGGCTAATCCTATACCTGCTCTGTAAACTGTAATGGCAATGCCTTAAAGGCTACGTTTTGGCAAGAGCAACATCTAGAGATGTTTATTTTTTAGAATAGGCGGACAAACAGTAATATTTGAAATAGTTAATATGTACAAATTTTGTCTATCCCTCAACATTTCTCTGCTTTGAGGAGTTGTGTAGTACTTTAGACATCACTGGCTGCTAGTCAGGAACAGCTTCAGGTATAGACATGGTCTGGGGCAGAAGAGGGCAAAGGCAGCAAAAGGGCCCTTTCAAGGGTTAAAAGAGCCCTTTTAAGGGTGAATAGTGCCTGCGTTTCTCTGCCAGCGCCAACAGGGAGCACTGCCCTCCCAAGGGATGCAGACAGACCAGCCCCAGGCACGTCATTGTGGGGTGACATAAAGCAGTAATTAAAACAGCACAGACAGCCCAGCTTCTGCAGGCTCCTCTCCTGCTCTTCCACAAACACAGACAGGTATCACGCTCTGAAAAGTGTGGGACAAGGTACACCAGAGGGGAGACAACTGCTGTGGGAGCAGAAGAGGCCGAGGGAGATGCTGAGGGAATTGGAATGGTTGCTGGAAGTGCAACTGGGAGGACTGCCACATCCTGAAAGCAGATGAAGGGATGCTGAGATCAGAGAAGGGTGAGAAAAAAACTTTTCCACACCCAGTGAGCTACTCCCTGAATCCTCCCTCTGTTCTGCCAACCCCACTGACCTCTTTCAACTCCCTCTAGAGTCCTGCAAAAGCTCTCCTTTTGCCCTTTTACCCATTTTCATCCCAAGAGAAAAAAACAATGACTGAGAACTCCACTAAGGTCTCCATTCAGCCCAGCAGTAGGTTTATTTAGGATTACATGCCCATAATTGCTGAAGAAAAGGAACATGGGACGTGACTCTTATTGGCATCTAGGCACTGGTTCAGCAAAGATAAAATAACCAAAACACTCTGCTGGGGCTAGAGAAAGACCCATTGTCAGTCCATGCTCTGAGCACAGCCTGAACTCCACAGACCTGGGAAAAACCTGAGCCCATACTCCACAAAGCTTGTGCCATCCCTAGTTTGGGAACCACAGTGACACAAATTAATTTGTTGTCTAAAGCCCTGATCAGAGCTTCTTCTTAAAAAAAAATCAGATCCATTATATTAACGTTTTTCTATATTAAAACAAGAAATACTCCTTAATTGTAGTGTTTCGCAGGCACTTCCTTAATTTTATTTTTCAGTACTTGAAAGTTTTGCAAAGCAATGCTATCCAAAGAATAGGGCTGAGCTAAACAATTTTTTCAGAGACAAATCTTTGTTCTTTTTTGATCTAAACCACAGCAAATCCTCCTTCTACTAGTCTAGAGTCTACTCAGATTCCTTGATTCCTTCCTGTAATTGACAGAAATCCTGGGTAGGAAATAATTTTGAGCAGATTAGAGACAGAGCTGCATTTCATGCAGTAACGACTCAAACTCAAATTTTGTCTTGTCTTGAAATAGATGTTGTGATGTTAGGTTAAGTACTATTAACATCAGTGCAACAGAGAAAAACAATTTTCTATGGGAAAAAAAATCTGTTGGTACTGCCCAGACATAAATTTACCTTTTCCTCAATTTCTTTGAGTTGCCTCTTTTGAAGTTCTATTTTATCTTCTAGATCTCGAATTCGCTGGAACAGAAAAAGCAAAACAGACATTATTATATCTAATTTGAAAAGCCTATGAATAAAAAAGATAAGAAATGGGTTAAAAATAAAGAGAACAAATGTCCATTATTAATGTAACACTTCCTTTACAGTTGTATTAGACATTTCCATGGCAGAATTTTCCACATTTCCATGAAACCATGGCATTTCAAACAAGCTGCATGTTCAGAACCTCATGTTTATACCAGGAAGTCTACTCATCACCACTCGTTAATCATCACTTTAACATATACACACAGACAATTCCATTTTGCATCAAAATTCTTTTTCTGCGCAACCGACAGTTTTTCTGCTTACCTAGACAGTCTGTGGATCACATTTCCTTTTAACCCTTAATTTTCTTTTCCTATAAAATGCAACCATACTTCTAGCATAGTCAGGCTATACCAGAGAAAAGAGAACACACATATTTTCAGTTTATCACAAAGATGCCATCCAGAGACTTAGCTCTGTCCTATTACCAGTCACCTCCCACCACAGCCAGATGGAATGTTTCCTTCACTGTAGCTCCCCACATTTTTAAGGATTTTTCTTGTTCAGTTTCACAAAGATTCTTCAAAAACATGACTTCTGCTGGGTCCACATATCTTATTCTTTTCTGTATCACATATCTCCTTTTTTCCTTTCTGTAAGTCACACTTTTTTTCTTATTGTTTATTTTTCTTTTGATGTTGGGGATCTTATACAATTTAGATGCATTTTATTACACTTTCAGTATATTGTACTTGTTACAGATAAGGTAGGTTATAAATATTTTTTTTCTATAGGCAGAAACCTGAAGTCTTCTTCAAGAAACAACTTCATAAAATGAGATTTTTTTGGGGATTAACTACCCAATCTCAGCCTGGCCTACAACAGCTAGGGGTGTTAGCAGTTCCTGAACTTGGAAAGACAAATTATCATTTCCTCTAATGGGGATGGTATAGGTGAGTAAAATCTGCAGCTGCTGCTGCCTCACTCCCAAATTATTTTATGACTCTCAAATTGATGTGAACAGCAGTACTTGTTTCAAAACCACATCCAGTCATCACTCACAAACCTGTGTGTATCAGCAGGTGCTGGTAGTCTCCTACCTGCCTTCAGCTCTAAGGGTAAATGCTCCACACCCATTATAGCCCAGGACAGCGGCAGCAGGGCAGCAGCTGATCCAGTGACCAGACTGCTTTGGAGAAACACAAAGTTTGGCTTGAAAATCACAAATCTAACCTGGAACTATTCCAAAAATGAAGTACACACAACCCTGCCGTTCATTTTTCCTAGGGCATGCTCCTCCACACAAATACTGAAGACAGGCCACGAGCAAAAAGGCTTTGTTATCGTTGCTCCTGTTTCAAAATGGAAGATTTCACTTAAAGCTTGTTTTGAATATTACACATTCAGTGTAAGTTAGTCAAAATCTACAGTATGTCATACTGCAGTGCTCAAAGACTTCCCCAGATATTACACAAACCAGCATGAACCAGATTACCCTCATGTGACATAAGTGAATGCACCTTTGCTGACAATCACAAATGCCCCAAGCACAGCTCAATTAATTTCACTTTTCCTCTATTCCATTTAAATTGATTTATCTATGCCCTGTTCAAGGCAAGCCTATCTCCCAAGTGATCACCATATACTGCATGTAGCAGGAATGTTACAATCACTGTGAAAAACCATGGGATGAGAAGCAGGCAGTTGGAATCACTCCCAGTATCTCTAATCCATCAGGTTAGACTCCTGTTTCTCTCCTACTCACTACAGTCATGCTGATTCCTTCTTCTAACCACATCCCAAACCTGACTGACAGACTTCAGTTCTCTGGGGGTTGTGCTCTGATGCTATGAGGAAAAATTTGACCGTAGCAAGATAAGTGGAGAGAAGCAAATTTTTAAAATATCATTTTCATCTTCAAGATTTATAATGTATTTTTCAATAACTCCTGAGACTTTGCCTTAAGAAAAAAAAAAGAATTTAAAAAGGCCACTGAACATCTGGTGGCTTTCTCACCTCAGGGTTTAGAACAAGTGTTCCTCTCTAAAAGAACAAGTTAATTAGGATAAGATGGCAATTTTAGGATTTGGGAATTCTGTTAATCAAGTAAAAATCGAGATGTTATTACTCCCTCATGAATTTTTCATCTTTTCAAGATTATACCTATCCGGCTATTTTCTCCAACTACTCAGAACAGTTCTAAAAAAAGGGCTGAGGCTTCTATTTTCCAACTCCCTCCCATAATAACTGTTAAATTTTGGGAGATGAAAGAGAATAGTTTCAAGGTGCAGAGACATATATTTTCTTTAAAATCACTTAAAACACAAAGACAACCTACCAGCTGAAAGGAATACATAAACGACTTAATTTCTTAGCACTGAAAATCTGCAAAAAAACCCCTCAAAACAACTAGATTGGTAACAGGCAGAGTGTGCTGGTTTTGGCTGGGGTAGAGTTAACTTTTTTCACAGTGGCTGGTATGTGGCTGTATTTTGGACTTGTGGTGAACATAGGGTTGATAATATAGAGATGTTGTTGTTATTGCTGAGCAGAGCTTACGCAGAGCCAAGGTCTTCTCTGCTTTTCATACTCCCTCCCGGCAGGGAAGTTGGAGGTGAATGGGAGGCTGGGAGGAGACACAGCCAGGACAGGTGACCCAAACTGACAAATGGGATAATGCAGAACAAGTGACATCATGCTCAGTATATAAAGTGGGAGGAAGAAGGTGGAAAGAGGGGAACATCTGGAATTGTGGTGTTTGTTGTTTCAAGTTCCTGGTATATGTGATGGTTCCTGCTCTTCTGGAGATGGCTCCACATCTTCCTGCTCATGGGAAGTAGTGAATTAATGTCTTCTTTTGTTTGGCTTCTCTGTGCAGCTTTTGCTTTCCCTATCAAACTGTCTTTATCTCAACCCATGAGTTTTCTAGTTTACTCTTCCAATTCTTTCCTGATCCTACTGGGGAGGGAGGGTGTGGGTGGCTGTGTGGGGCTTGGCTGCCAGAGGGGGTGAAACCACAGGAGCTCTGTTTGATTCTCAGTGTGGGGCTGAAGGGTTTGGGATAACACCAGGTTCATTGGGATGTACTAGACTGAATTTACAGCTCTTAGTGCTGTTCATCCAGGGATCAGCAGGCTCCTGTTCCTGCCATGGGGCTGATTATCTGATTAGAATCCACTGCTCAGTAGTGGCCACTTCTTGCTTTCCTGCCTGCTGTAGTGCTGTACTGCCTGTCACCCCACTGAATTGTGCCTGGGAAGGTTCTGATACCAGCCGTGGGGCAGGGCCTGGGCTGGCAGGTGGCCAGGGCACTGCTGCTGCCCTGCACAGGGTGGATGCAGCCTGCAGGACAGACACTGGTGTGTACAGATGTGTGCTCAGAGCTGCTCCAGACCTGGTGCTGAGGGCAGGTGATTGTTCAAACAGCTCGTATTCCTCTCATATGAGTGGAAATCACAGTGACAGAATACTTTTGCTGCCAATGAGTAAAATTTTGTAACTAACTTATTTGCTGCAGAAATTAAAGAGTCCAAATCTAGACAGGTCAAAATTTGTTTTAAAACAACAACCCTGGGCTGGAATTGTTCATCAGGTATCAAAGCTTGGTGTTGTTTGCTCCTAGCTGTTTACTTGCTTTCCCCTGCAGGATTATGCAGGAGGATGAAGTGGGTGTAGCCATCCCCATGAATATCCTGTGATTGCTCAGGGACAGCACTGGAAGATAACCAGCACAGTTCAGCTGTTTACATATCCTGAAAAATATTATTTAATCGCTTATTTCCATTTAACTGTAGAGAAAGCCATAGCATTTAACACATTAAAAGAATAATTTTCTCTTATTGTACCTATTTGCATTTACTGCATTATCTTGATCACAAAGACAATTTCCAAAATACAACTTCAAAAAAAAAAAAAAAAAAGTAAGGTAAATAATCATAGCTGTAACAAAAAAGTATCTCCTAGAAGTAGCAACATGTTCATCAGGCAAAGGCTATATTTAATTACTGAGAAGGAAATTACATAAAAGTTAGAGATGCCAATTAAGACCAAGACAGGACTGTTTGAGATTCGTATAAGCCTTTACATCTTTCTGTTCCTTCAATTTGCAAGAATTACCAATCAAGAAGCTGTGGACTCACGCTCAGATTTCACCAATTGATTAAATGCTTTCAGTATATTCTGATTTGTTTATGTTTGCAAAAGTGTGACTGTGACAACAAATCATGCAGAACTATTTCATTGCTATCATGAAATTCTACATATTTTATGTTTCAGGATATAAATTGATGATCATTAAGTTGAGCCTTTCCTGCTATGTGGTATAAAGTAGTAACAATTGTGCTGTAAAAGATGCATTCAGCTCTACCCCCTGACATGGCTTGCAGGAGCCTTGCAAATCCAGTATATTTTTAACAGCACAAAAAAAAGTGTGAGGAATCAACAAAATCAACTCTATTTTGCCCTCAGAACTTTGATAAGTCTCAGCTGAAAAGAAAGCCACAGGCTGTTCTTCTCTTTATTTCCTTTTTTAAAAAGAGAGGGATAGGAAATATTGATAGCAAACCTGAGTCCAGCAGTGTTTGTGTTTCCTTTGGAGTCCCTAGCTTGGTCACAGTCGGAGGGAGGATTAGGGACAATGCAGAGCAGTGCTCTGCTGGGTTCTAGCAATTCCTGTGTTCCTGCAGTTGATAGCTGCCCCTCAGTCACAGGAGTGCACCTTTTTTGGGACTGACAGGATTCATGAGAATAACCCCGTGTAGTCAAATCATGGGGCCATACAATGGAGTTACTGTAGGCAAACAAAGAGCCACAGTCAGGCAAAAACAGGGAAATGGGAATGCAACCATGGAAGAGAGGAGAGTAAACATAAAGGATGGACTCCTAACACTGTCCACCTTGCCTGCTTTCAAAACCAACATGCCAAAATAATAATATTTGTTTCTCATTGATTTTGTTACAATAGCAAATAAAATCTCATCATAAAAGTTCTG